CACACACACACACACACACACACACACACGCAGATAAATGCATATACTTATATGAATGCCAAATACACATTATACATATACGCAGATAAACACATATGTAGATTATACAACACAGCCGTTCAACCATGTCTACAGCCCTATACACACAGAGATAGATGCAGATAAGCAACTGACGTATAAAAAGCACATGATATCCATTCACGTCCCACCCATACACAAAGACTCATCACAGCATGCTTAATACATACTCACACACCCCCTTCCATTGGTTGGCTTTTCCATCAATGTGGGCTTAGTCCTTCAGGGGGATAGGGAAGGTAGATATTGACACCTGTCAATCAAACATTTTTTTCCTGGATGAAGCTGAGGCTATTAGCACTAGCATTACCAAAACTCGAGGGGAAGGCATTGAATGGTGGTCACCATCAGTGACCTTTCTCTCCAGTGATCCCGAAGCCCCTATTCCAGCCTTAAATTTCTTCCCTCCTCTTCTGGCACAATTACCGGAGATGGGTAGGTGGGAGCCAAGCTGCCTGGGTCCTCTCAGATCATCTCCCCGATTTTTCAAACCCAGAGTCTCTCTGGGAAGAGTGAAATCAGGGAAAGGGGAGTTCAGCTGTGGAGCTGAGGATCTTGGAACCCCGAGCTACCCGCCCTCACTTGACCTTTCCATCTGGATGATTATGCTTCAACCCCAGCTTGGCCCCATTCCTATGGGTGGTCCCTGTCACCACCCATTCCTCCCCATCCCCAGCTGCATTCCAGACCTGCCACTCGCAGGCCCCCTAAGAAGAGAGGGGCTAGAAATGGGGGCAGGGAGGAGAAACTATTGTCCAGTGCTAGGGGTCCCCTGGCTCCATCCTTTGGCCTCTCCTGGCCCCCTGTGGCAGAAGAAGTCTTCACAGGAACTCCCATCTCCTCCCCTCCCCATGTGGGCTCTTGGCAGGCAGCTGAAGAGACATCTGCTGGCCCATCTCTCCCAGCATAGGGAGAGATGCTTTTCGAAAGGATTTGACCAGCCCAATAGCCCAGGCCCTGGGGGCTCTGCTACTCAAGGACAGATGGCTCCTGAGATCCCTAACTTTCATCCTTTAGCCAGAGGGAACTCTGAGGAAGGGCTGGGGCTCCTGGTTTTTCCCACCCAGCCCAGTCCCTTTGCTGAATTGCAGCTGCAGCTACATTTTAGGAGTTTCTCTGGTTACCAAGTATATCCTTGAAACTCGAAAGCCTCAGATGGGGTCATTGTTAACTTATTTTGCCATTCTATTACCATGTATCCAAGGCCCCCAAGGCATTCCCTGTCCAGAGCAGGGCCAAGAATGAGATGAGGCTGGGGAGAAGGATCTTACTGGGTTCACTGGTCTGGAAGTTCACTAGCCATGGCTGATGGCAGGAAGGATGAGATGAGGGGCTGGGAATGACAAGGTTGGGGATGTTGGGGTTGGGAATACTAGGGCTGAAAGTAGGAGAGGACACTAAAATTGGGAGTACTGAGGTCAAACCTAGTTGGGGGGCTGAGAAGGCCAATGTGGAAATTATAGTATGGAGATACTGAAAGAAAGGATCCCTTTTTGGCCTTTGGAGACTGGTGTAGTTTACAAGGGTTCGTGACTCATCCCCTGACTCTGTCCTCAGATGGATCCCGTGCAGAAGGCTGTGCTGTCCCACACCTTTGGGGGACCTCTGCTCAAGACCAAGCGGCCAATCATTTCCTGTAACGTCTGTCAGATCCGATTTAATTCCCAGGTGAGGGGCCCAAATCAGCTAAAGGGAGAAAGACAGGCAGGAGCTGAGGGGACACTAGGGTGATAAGGATGGAGGCTGGTGGGACATTGGTGGGAGAGAGGAGGGGTCTGGAAGGACAGTGGGGGGATCTTAGAACAAGAGAAGTGGGAGCAGACGGGACACTGGAGGAAAGGAGGGAACTGGGAGGACACTGAAGAGAGGGACAAGGATTGCTTTACTTTGGACATGAAGCTGACAACACACCTTTGATACACAAATGACTGTACCAATTAACCTGCGTTATTTCTTGGTCCTGGAAAGCCTGTAGACAAACCTTCTCTTAGGCCCTCTTCAGGCAAGATGGCCCTTCCAAAGATCACCCCTCAGTTCCCCCTAGCTATAATCTTCATGGAAAGCTGAGACAGTCCTTGACCTGGGGAATTTCCAGAATAGGAGAGATTAGGTTTGAGAAAGGGAAGAGTCATATGGTATAAAGGCAGGGGGATAGCCGGGATGACCCTTCCAGAGGTGGCTGGGTCTTCCCGTCTGAGAACAAGGAGAATCTGACCAAGGAGAAGATTGACTTCCCTATGTAACTTCCTTTTCTCTTTCCTCCACTCCCCACCTCTCTCCACCTCCCCTTCAAACCCATTAACACATAACATGTACATGCGAGTGCGCGCGCGCGCGCGCACACACACACACACACACACACACACACACACACACACACACACATATATACCACCCTCCCCAAGGACCCAGGAAGAGCCACTCAGATGTCTGATCTTCTCTAACAATATCCTTTCTGAGTTTCTGCTATGTGGGACAGAAAAGGGATTTTTGTAGGATCTAAGTGCTTTGAGATCTTTTAGGGGAAAAACAGCAAAATTTCATTCTACTGAACATCTGAACAGTGGATATTAGGAGAGAATGTTTAGTTTCTGTCTGTCTTCCGTTTTCATGCTGCTGGGCTCTGTCTTCTTATGACCCCTCCACATCCAGCCTGCTGAGTCTGCTCTGTCCTCCCCACCCCTTACATTCCTACCTCTATCCCAGGGACCTTGTGGCTCCTGAGATCTTGTTCACCCAGCAGGAGGTTACTGTATTGGGGGAGGGGAGGAAGATGGAGGGAATGACGGAGAAAGGCCAGGGTATGGGGAGTTCACTCACTTAGAGTCAGGTACGGGACTCAGGCATCCAATTCCCCTGAACCTCTTGCCCTGGTCACCAGTGGTATGTGGAAATCTAGGCAGTGGGGAAACAGCTCCCCTTTCCCCCCATTGCCTTCTCTACCTCACCCTCACCCTCCCACCCCCTACTGTGGGTTCTGTTTTGACAGCTGTCTCTGTTTCTGTATCTGTCTTTTCAGCTACAGCTAGAAAGCTGATCCAGAGGGCCTGTGGCCAGGGTCCTCCAGGGTCTCTGCCATGGAGACCTCAGGGGAAACAAAAGCCAGGACAATTGGAACAGGGACCCAGGCTGATCTACCCCAGACCCAGTCCTTGAATCTTATGCTGAAAAAGAACTTGGCATGAGGGCTGGGGATATCTGGGAGTTGGGGAGGGTAGCAGCTAGAGTGACATCCAGGCCCTTCCCAAGAATGGATTAGCATTCTGCTCTTGGGGAGGCATGTACTCCCTTCCCCCCTCTCTAAGGACTAGGGAGGCACTAGTAGTCCACTAGTAACAGGCTACTGAGGCAGGCCAGGGTATAGCAGCAAGATGGGGCTAGGGTGATACTAACTTCTACGTAAAGATATTCTTAACTGGGGGTCCTTCAATGTGTGTTTTTAAAATATATGTATGTATATATACATATATACACACGTGTATATATACATATGTATATATTCATTTAATAACTATTTAACATAAATTATTTCCTTTGTAATTCCATGGATTTTACTTAGTGCATTTAAAAATGTGATTCCAAGAAGGGGTCCAAAGACTTCCCTAGCCTACCAAAGGGGTCCCAGGACTCAGAAAAAAAGGTTGAGAACTCCTGTTATAGGTCCTGATAATATGAATCTCTAGGTACAGGAAGTATTCCTGCTTCTTTTCCATCAGCTGAACACCCCAAAAAGAACTGGGATAATTTGCAATCATTTGGAAATACAAAGGTCAAAATGATTCTCTCTTCCTCTCTCACCCAGTCCCCCAGCAGTGAGACCTCTGGGGGAAGGGATGGAAAGTCTGTGTGCAGAGAGGGATGCAGGGTAAGCAGGAGACTTGGCTCTGAGGGAAACAATGGATTCTCAATCTCTCTCCCGGTTCCCCTGTTCTTCAGAGCCAGGCAGAGGCACACTACAAGGGCAACCGACATGCCCGACGTGTCAAGGGCATTGAGGCCGCCAAGACCCGGGGCAAAGAGCCTGGCGTCAAGGAACCTGGAGACTCAGCACCATCAGGCAACAGCCCTCCCAGTGAGGATGGAGGGGCCCTTCGTCCAGGTGTGTGTCATTCCCATGATATACACATACATACATACATATTATATACACTCATACATATTATATGTATATGCATAGTGTATATTATATACACATACATATTACATATTATATATACATACCTATAATACACACATATATATCTTACATATACACATATGTTTCTCTGTATCTTTCTGGTTATCTCTCTGTCCCTCTTTACTTGCCTCTGTATCTCTATGTCCCAAGTACAAGGAGGGAGAGACATATTAGACAGCATTTCATCTGGGGAAAAAAAAAAGGTCTGGGGACCTCAGTGGACTCCAAGTGCAATATGAGGCAACAATGTGATTTGGCAGGCAAAAAGCTCCATTCAGGTTATATTCAGAAAGGCCAATCTTCCAGGAAAAGAGGAGCTGATAGTGCCATTGTACTCTGCTCTCACCAGACCATATCTCCAGGGGTAATGGAGTTTAGGATGGAGCTTGATAAGCTGAAGACCTTTCAGAGGAGGGCAACCAGAATGATGAAGGGCCTTGAGTCTAGGCCATGTGAGGATAACTTGAAAGAACTGGTGACATTTAGCCTGGAGAAGATTCAGGGAGGGGAGGGTGGGATATTATATCTGTCTGCAACTAGACAGAAAGGCTGTCAAGAGGAAGAGGGATTAAGTTTGTTCTGCTTGGCCCTAGAAGACAGAACTAGGGACCATAGGTGGAAGTTACAAAGAAGCACTCCCAATTGTTAGAGCTGTCCAAGGGCTGCCTTGGAAAGGAATGGTTTTCACCTCATTGGGAGAGCTTAGAGAAAAGGATAGATGACCACGTGTTGGGTGTGTGGAATTCTTTGGGGGGGGCGGGGTGAGTTTGACTAGATGGTCTTTGAGGTCCCTTCCAGCTCTGAAATTCTCATCTTGGTCATGCTTGGCTCTTTTTGCCTCTATTTCTTTGCATTCTCTTTTAGCTTCTATCACTATCCTCCCCCTACCCCCAACTCTCTCTCTCTCTCTGTGTGTGTCTCTTTCTCCCCCCCATCTCTCTGTCTCTGCTTCCCGCCTCCCTCTCTCCCTTCTGTTTCTCTCCCCTCACTTACTTCTTGCTGTCTACCTCTCTCTCTTTTCTGTTTCTCTCCCCCTTCTGTCTCTCTTCCTCTCTCTTCCTTCCTTCTCTGTTTCTGTCCCCCCCTTCTCTCTTGCTCTCTCTCTTCTGTTTCTCTCCCCTTTCTTTCTCTTCCTCTCTCCCTTCTCTGTTTCTCTCCCCATCCTCTCTCTCCCTCCTCCTCTCTCTTCACCCCTTATCTGTTTCTCTCACTTCTTTCTCTCTCTCCCTCTCTTTGTGTTTCTTTTCCCCCTCCTCTCTCCAGCTCCTTCTCTCTCTCTTCTCCTCCTTTCTCTCTCCCTCTCCCTTTCTGTCCCCCTTCTCTCTTGTTCTCTCCTCCTCTCTCTCCCTTCTATTTCTCTCCCCCTTCTCTCTCTCTTTCCCTTACTCTCACTTTCTCTCTCCCCTCCTCCTCTTTCTACTCTTCTGTTCCTGCTTTTTTCTGTTCTTCTCCTCCCTTCTCTCTCCCTCCCTCCTCCTTCCCTTTTTCTCTCTCTTTTCAAATGTACACATACAAAGAGATAGGAAATACACATATAGATGTAGAGAGGAAAACACTATATATGTATATCTGTATGTACAGTGGTGTGCGAATTGGGATGAACTAGAATAATAAAATTTATTGGCTTATACATTTAACCTTACAACTTTTTAAATCTTTAAAAGACTTAATATGACCTTCCTTTGCCATAATTACTGATTTTACATGATTCTGCAATGGGTTTGTAAGATTTTGACACATTCTTTAATTTCTTATTATAAAACTACATTTTAATCACATTGGACATTAAGTTTTCCTTAAGAGGAACAATCCATATTTCTAAGTTGAGCTTTGATTATAGGCCATGGGTTTTCAATGGAGTTTCCATCAGGTGAGTTCCTAAACCACCGAGGCCTCTTTATCTCCATCTCCAGGATAAATTTCATATCTTTTCAGGATGTGTCATGGCACAAAGTTGTGTGGAGGTATTCCATCTCCATTTAAGAATTTACATAATTCCAGAACAATTGTACTTCTCAAGTATATCAATATATTTAACAGAGAGCTCGTCATCCCCTTCATGCGGAAAAGACTTTCGGGGCCACTAGAAGTTAAAAAAAATTTTGGTGGATATTTTACGGTCTAATGAAGAAGCCTAGGTCATACAGGCTAACTTGGACTTCTGACAACAGTTTTGAATGAATGAATGAATTCAGAGAATGAATTCATCCTTGAATGAAAAAGTGAGTTTCATCAGTAAAAATCCCATTTTTGCCCAATTGTCAGTGATCCGGTCTCTGTAATGTCTTGTCTGTGACGAGCATTTTTTCTTCGTAGCAATGGTTAGCAGCTGTTTTTTTTTTTAACTTGTCTTCTCATTTTTCTTCCAAGTTCAAGAAGCCTTCAGTGCACTATAGAGGAATCAATAACAACCAATCCAGCTGCCAGGTCTCTCTGAAGGTCTTTGCTTGTTTTTTGAGAATTAATTAGGCTGTTTCACAGCAATAGTTTTTCCATTTCTTGGCATTGTTTTTTGTTGTTGATCTCACTTTCCTTTGTGCTTCAGTGCAACTGATCTTGTTTCATTGTGGGCTTGAATGAATCTTGAAATGCTTGGCTTCCCCACACCAACAGCTTGCTGTAATATCTCTAACAGTCATTGAAGTGTGCTCATTAAGAGTGACACTTTTGCATGTTTCCTTGGAGTGATATCCACTCTTAAAAACCACAACAAAAAATAGCAACAAAACATGTATATATAATATGAAATCTAGCATTCAGCTGACAGAATTAACTAAAAATGGGGAAACCAGCCCAATCTGGTTTCACATGATCAAGGGGTCAGGATCCTGAGGCAGCCTGGAGCCAGTTGAAGCACACAAGAATGATCAGTTCTGGGACAGCTAGGTGACGCAGTGGATAGAGCACCGGCCCTGAAGTCAGGAGGACCTGAGTTCAAATCTGGCCTCAGACCAAACACTTGACACTTACTAGCTGTGTGACCCTGGGCAAGTCACTTAACCCCAGTTGCCTAAAAACAAACCGAAAAAAAAAAAAAAAGAAAGAATGATCAGTTCTGTCACAAAATGAAAACATATCAAAATTATTGCTTGTCCCAAGTAATTTGCACACCATTGCACATATATAATGAGTGGTTTATCCTCTCTACATTTCTTTTTCTGTCTCTCTCTCTATTCCCAGCTCTCCCTACCCAGGTAAGCCCATGAGCCAAGCCCAGAGACCCCAGTGATCTAGACTTTCCATCCTGTCACCCCCTAGCCCCACCACACCCCACTCCAGCTTTTCTCAGCACAGAGTCCCTTCTGTCTTCCCTGTAGCCCAGCCCAATGACTCAGAGGAGGAGGTAGAATTGGCAATGTCTTGACCTGGCTCCCCTCCCCAAGAAGAGAGGCCCCTTCACAGGGAAGGGGAAGTTCAAGAATCCTGAGTCATCTTTCCTCTGTACCCCACTCTTCTCTCTTCAGAAACAGTGAAAAGAGGGGAACTAGACTGGCAGTTGGGAGACCTGGGTTCTGGATCTGGCTCTTCTATTAACTAGCCGTGTGACCTTGAGTGAGTCACTTGTCTGTGGACCTCACCTTCCTTATCTGTTAAATGGCCTCTGAGGTCCCCTCCAGCTTTAAATCTATGATCCTATGATCGAGAAGGTCTCTCCCAGTTCTACCTGCCAGCTACCCTTTCCAAATCCAGTTTAGAGTCAGGAATCTGAGAGAAAGAGGAACGAGTGGGGGGAAGGAGAAACGTGGACTGGGCATCCTCCCCACCATTATCCCGATATCACAGCATCAGCTATCAGTCACAATCTGATCTGAAGGAGCCCAGGCATCCCTATTCCTCCCTCCTCTCCTTGACTCAACATCCCCAAGCTGGGTGTGAAGAAGGGATCTAGGATTGGAGCTTAGACACGAAGGGACGCCAAACAGGGGAGAGAGACAGAAGACCTATGTTTTACTGCTGTCTCGTGACCTAGGCCTCATTTTACCTCTCAGCCTCACTTGTCTCATCTGTTAAAAAAAAAAAAAAAGGGTGGGGGTACATAGAGAGGGAGAGCGATGCCTTCTTTGTCTACCTCTCAGCTCGGTTGTGGAGATCAAATGAGATCATAGGAAATAAAGCTTTAAAAACGTTAAAGTTTGAGCCACACGTCAGCTATGGTTATTGTTATTATTAGATGAGACAACAAGAGGGAGTAGGCTGGAGGGACAGACTTTTGCCCTGGATGGCTCTGCAGAGTATTGGTTCCCTTCACTCAACCTTTTTCACCCCCACTCCCAGCCTCCCTCTGACCCGGAAACTGGATCATCTGTAGGAGCTGGAGTTTGCCCCTGTTGAGAGTTGAGAGGCTGAAGCCCAGACCCAGGACTAGACCCTATGCATCTTTAATGGAACCATGAATTATAGAGCAGCCCAGCCATGGTTCCTGTTCCTTCACTCTCTCTGTCTATCTTTGTCTATCGTCTCTCAGTCTCTAACTATCCCTGATCCCATCGCTATCTCCTTGAGCCCATCTTCCCCTTTCTCAGTGCCTCTCCATGCGTCTCCCCTTCCTGGCCCCCTTCCTTCTAGCTTTCCTCTATGGGGGTGGGGCAGGGCCCTAGGGATCAACCAGGCCCCGAGCCGAGTGAGGCCAGGCCGGGCGGGTCCCGGATCAGCAGTGCTTCTCCAGCCTAGCCAGGCAGCCTGCCAGGATTCTGTTAAGCAGGGAGGGATGTGCTCATTCCCTGCAGGGGAGAATAGCGGAGGGGAGAGGGGAACCACTTGGTCGTGACCAATTAGTAGGGTAGAAACCTTGAAATGCAAGCTAGGTGCATACCCTAGAGAGCTGGGAGCTCCAGCCAGGAGGTGGGGAGACTGGGTTCTTTTGTCTGCAGAAATTTAGGGTGAGGAATGGAAGTTCAACTTTTCCCTGATACCACAGCCTCTTCTTCAGAGGCAAATCCTTGTGACCCCTGTGTTTCTTTCTCCATCCTCATAGCTGTGGTGGAAAATGGGCTGGGCCTACCCCCCAGATCCCCTGAGAAGCAACCTGGTGTCCCCTCCCCACCCAATGTCCCAGAAACTGGACGGGGAGGGGCCAAGGGTGAGGGAAGGACTCCAGCACCAGCCCCACTGCCAGGGGGTAGCAAGGAGGAGGAAGAAAAGGCCAAGAGGCTGCTATACTGTGCTCTGTGCAAGGTGGCTGTGAACTCCTTGTCCCAGCTTGAGGCGCATAACAAAGGTAATGAGTCTCTATGAACCTTTTGACCTTCCTAATCCCCTGACCTCAGCTGACCCTGGTCCAGGACCCTCCTCCCAGCCTTGGACCTTGGTCACCACATCCATACAACCTTATCCTCAGGTTTCCCTGGGTCACCCCCATCTCACTTCTATTATGACCCTGAAATGTCTTATATTCTCATTCTTAACCCTCAACCATCTCTCTGGCTGTCTGAATTCTCTCCAGTAGGTCAGTCAGTCAATAAACATTTATTAAGTGCCTAAGATATGCCAGGCATTGTGTTCCCTCAACCCCAGTGCAGCCCTCCCCTTCCCTTCCCTCCCCATCCCCAAGAGTCTCAAAATTGAGGGACCTAAGGAGTTAGGGCCTGGAGGGAGGTGCTGAGGTGTTCATTAGGAACCTCTGTGCCCGGTTCTCCCTGGAACTTTAGGAGCTGGGAGATTAGAGGAGAAAGCGGGGTGCCTAGGGGAATCTAACCTCCCGCCTCCTCTCTCCACCCGTCCCCCCCAATCTTAAATGCAGGTACCAAGCACAAGACAATCCTGGAGGCACGTAGTGGGCTGGGCCCCATCAAAGCGTACCCCAGGCTGGGCCCCCCCACCCCTGGGGAACCTGAGGCCCCTTCCCAGGACCGGACCTTCCACTGTGAAATCTGCAATGTCAAGGTCAATTCTGAGATCCAGTTAAAACAGGTAAGTTAGCCTTCCCGATGTCTGGTGTCTATTTCCCCAGGGTTGGGGAAGAGGTGCTTCCTAGGAAGGATTAAACCCCCTAGAAGTAGAGCTTGGGTGGCCTCGGTTTCCATCCTCCAGGGCGAGTACCTTTCTTCCTTAAAGAGTAATGAGTGGATAACTCCATCCTCTCCACACCCCAACATTCTGGGCCAAAGCTCCCTCCGCCCTCATTCTTACCCCCACCCCAATTTCCTTTTGAATTTCTGACCGGAGCCGTATACACCCCTCTCATCTTTCCTCAGCACATCTCCAGCCGGCGGCACCGGGACGGCATGGCCGGCAAACCTAACCCCCTGCTGAGCCGCCACAAGAAGCCACGAGGCGTTGGGGAACTGGCGGTGAGGCGGGGTGCTCAGACAGAGCCAGAGGATGAGAGTAATGGGAGGGGTGAGGGGAAGAGGTCCCTAAGGGGATGGGCAGAGGGGCGTTCCGAGGCCTGCGGGTGGAGAGGGACGTTCTGGGGGTAGATAATGGATCGGGGAAAGGGTGCCAGGGCTCTAGCAGGCAAGGGGTAACCCCTTGCCTCTTTTTCCCGCAGGGCACGCTGACTTTCTCAAAGGAGCTACCTAAGTCCTTGGCCGGAGGTCTTCTCCCCAGCCCCCTGGCGGTGGCCGCAGTGATGGCGGCAGCGGCTGGCTCCCCGTTGTCCCTGCGCCCAGCCCCGGCTGCGCCGCTCCTCCAGGGCCCCCCTCTCACTCACCCCTTGCTCCACCCGGCCCCTGGGCCCATCCGAACTGCGCACGGACCCATCCTTTTCTCTCCCTACTGACCCCAACCCTGAACCCCCAACCTCCCCCCCATTCCTATTGGGACCCAGGCTCTGGGCCCCCCCAAGCCCACCCCCTCCTGGCTTTTCCTGGGAAGGGGTCTCTCTTCCCTCCCCCAGACCACCTCGAGGTACGGGGTTCCAGGAATGGGAAGGGGGAAGCGGGGGAGGGGGGCTTCAGAAGGGGGGCACCCCAGATCTCAGGGAACCCCACCCCTGCCCCTCCCTCTCCCTCATAAAAGGGGGGCATCTCATCCCTAGCCCTTTTGGAGATTACCCCTCTCCCAAAAGCCATGTCCATCCAGTCCCTACCCCCAAACCTAGCACAAAAACGGGGTTCACAAGCCATGTCCAGGGTCGGGGTCAGGGGTGAGGGTCAGGACGGATTTTCTTGGCAATAATCGGACTCTGGGACTCCGGATCCCATACCCCCAAACCGAAGCGCTTCCGTGAACATCCCCATGGGGGGGACAGGTGGGATCCGGGGTCCCTCATAAGCACTTTGGCATTTTGGCCTGCAGCCTCACTGTGTCCACCTGGCCCATCCTTCACCCTACCCCCACACCTGTTCCAACCCATACTGGGGGCAGTATTTGTGGGGGGTGGACACATCCGGTGACACCCCCTCCGGCCTCCCCCTTTACACACACCCAATCCCTAGCCTGTACTCTCTCCTCCAGCCCGGGTTTCCACTGTCTTCTCACCAGCACCCATGGTCCATGGGGGTACTGAGGGGGGCAGGGGGTGTCCGTCCAATCCGAATCCACCCCGGCCCTGCCTTCCGCAAAACTGTGAGCGAGCAAAAAGCAATAGAAGCCCCTTCCCCCTGCTCCCCCGCCGAAGGATTCGCACCCAGAGCTGTAGCCCTGCTCCCTGACCCCTAGCCCAATTACCTCACTCCCCTCCCCACCAGCTCCCTCAACTGCACAACTTGGGCGGGGGCGGGGCCTCTGTGTTTCTCTGTCCTCGGTGTTGTCTAATTCCTGCAGTCCTGGGGAGGCGGCCCCCCATCTGCACCACCACCATCACCTGTTTCTGC